GTCGTATACAGTACTATTTTGATTGACACTTACGAAATACGTACGCGACGTTAATATGCTCGAAGGGGATTGGAACCCGATCTTGCTCGTATCAATACTCTGGCGGACAGAGTAACGTTATGTTCAAAACTGATTTAGAGACTGCCCCCGAGCGTCGAAAATCATGCCCTTTTATACACCGAAAAACTAAGATTTTTGGTGGTGGGGAACGTTAGATTTCCGTGGGAATGGAATGCGAGCTCATCCCTTGGCTTGGCGACTATCGGGGGGGTGCGTGCTAGACTAAACATTTGAACAACCAATAGTTTCTTTCCAAAAATCAAAATCTTTGTATAAACAGTGCTGGGATAAAGTATTGGCACTCTGTACTCGGGCAGAAATAAAAGTAATTCTGTACTGAAAAATGAGCGAAAAAAGGGATTTATTTGTATGGAAATAATAGTATGACATATTTAGAATAAATGCACGTAAATGTTGACATAATAAAATGATTTATTGAAAGTAATGATTAACATGTGCGACTAGAACATAAATAATAACTGTGAAAAAGTATTGGCACGAAACGAAAAAACGAAATTGAAACAAAAAATATGGTAAATATCAGTATTTGGTATGAAGTCCTTTATTTTTAATAATTTCTCTTATTCGTTTAGGCATGGAATGAACCAGTTTCGATGTAAATTCCGGCTGAATATTATTCTATTCTTCCAAAAGTAGCTGCTTTAATTGATTTTTGTTTGTAATGTGATGTTTTCTTAGTCTAACTTCGAGCTCAGCCCACAAATGCTCAATTGGGTTGAGGTCCGGTGATTGGGGCGGTGTTGGTAATGTATGGGCAACATTATAAGCAACCCATATACGGACTATATGAGCTGTATGCTTTGGATCGTTGTCACTTTGAAAATAAAAATCTCGTCCAAGCCCTAATTTCCCAGCACTTTTTTTTAAATTGTTTTTTAAAATGTTTAAATTGTTATAAAAATGTGTACGGCTAATCCCACCGCTGTCACCTTTTTATTAAAGGGTTTACGGCTCGCGTTCCGAACGGTCGTCGGTAGGTTGTCAGGTGCTTGCGGAATTCGACCGGTATCACCAGCCTTGCGACGTCGTTCGGGTTTTGGTCCTAATATAAAAGCGCGTGTTTCCCGATTCGCGGTAGACGTGGGTACAGATAGGAGGGCTCGGACGTGCCAACGTATGGTTAACGAAGGTAGCCGAAGGAGGTGGTCCACTAGCGTATAGTTTACACCGTGTGCCACCGGATATGAAGGTGTTCGGTGTAAGACGGGAGGGCTCGGACGTGCCAACGTATGGTTAACGAAGGTAGCCGAAGGAGGTGGTTTATTCGGGATTGGTTAACGACGCGTGACACCGGAGGATGTGTCGGGTGTAAGACAGGAGTGCTCGGACGTGCCAACGTATGGTTAACGAAGGTAGCCGAAGGAGGTGGTTTATTCGGGATTGGTTAACGACGCGTGACACCGGAGGATGTGTCGGGTGTAAGACAGGAGTGCTCGGACGTGCCAACGTATGGTTAACGAAGGTAGCCGAAGGAGATGGACCATTCGGCGTATGGTTAACGCCGCGTGCCACCGGACAGTGTGTCGTAGGTGAGATAGGAGGTCTCGGACGTGCCAACGTATGGTTAACGAAGGTAGCCGAAGGAGATGGACCACTAGCGTTTGGTTAACGCTATGTGCCACCGGATAAGAAGGTGTTTGGTATTCGCGAGTCGTGTCGTTGATATACCTCGAGCGGTAAAGGTATATCTGTCGTGGGGTTAGCTGGTACGTTACTATACTACTCAGGATGGGTTGATTGAATATGGACACGAGTAGTACTCTATATTCCTATATTCTATTATAAATTACAAAATTTTACGTTGGTCGATTCTTGACTCGGCAAGAATCTCCCTTCTCGACTTTACGCGGTGAGAGCGCGGAGGAGTCGTGTACAGTACTATTTTGGTTGACACTTACGCGTTGTGTTATTGCTCGAAGGGGACTGGAACCCGATCTTGCTCGTATCAAGTACTAACGGACAGAGTGACGTTATGTTCAAAATCTGACTTAGAGACTGCCCGCGATCGTCGAAAATCCTACCCTTTTATACCCCGAAAACTAAGATTTTTGGTGGTGGGGAACGTCAGATTTCCGTGGGAATTGAATGTAAGCTCATCCCTTTGCTTGGCGACTATCGGGGGGGTGCGTGTTAGACTAAACATTCGGCGCCGCACGCTTCGGGTAGAACGCGTACGTAACATCTCCCCCCTCAGAGGGAACATCGTTTATTATGATGCTTCCACAATGAGAGCCGAAACGTGTGGTGCCGTGTTTTACAATGGTTACGCAAAAATAATAAGAAATTATTATATATAAATAAAAGGTTATAGAAATACATGAAATTAAAACTAATTATATCTAGTGTAAGCTTTAAAAATAATTAAAATAAAAGAAAAATTAAAACTATGGGCTATGTATTAATATAATGGTTGGAATACTATAAACTGAAGAAGATAACGGGGTAAAATTAAAATCCTTAAATGATAAAGATAAAGAAAATGACAAATAATAAAGAAAAATAGACCTGGGGGGTTTAGGGGCGATGGAGTGTCCAGGTGGTCGCCTTATTCCAGGGGGTCGCTGGTGGTTGGTCGTGGTTGTGTGTTTCTGTAGCGCCTTGTGAGCTCCAGTCCTCGTGTAATCCTTTTTACACAATCAGGGCACTCGCTGGCAGGTCGCACGATCAGCATTGGGGTTTTGCAGTTGTCGCACGGTTCGGTGGAAGGTGTTCTGACTGGTCCGTGCGAGTCGTATCGTTCCAGCTCCTCCCTCGTTGTTCTAGCGCAGCTCATGCATAGGTCGCGGTCGTCGTTCGTCGCAAAGAAGGTTAGCCTCGTGCAGAATGTGAAGCTCAACACTCTTCGGACTTCTCTCTGGAGTTCATGGTCCACTGGTACTTTCGGTTTCGGTTCAGGTGTATGGTGTCGTCTTATTTTTTCCAAGAGGTCTCCCATGCACTCTTCGCAATCCCTTATCCTTCTGTTTCGGGTAACAGGGGTTTTGCAGGACGTGCATTTTTCCATCCGTGCTCTGCTGGATGGTTGGTGGTGTTGGAGTTTTTCTCCCGTTGTTTGCGTTGAATTTGCACATTCCTCGCAAACGGCTTCATTTTTTTCGTTTGTGAAATACACTGCCCATGTGCAAAATAGTGTTGCCAGGGCTATTTGGATCTCCTCCAAACGTATCTCGTTCGTAGTTATTGTTTTATGGATATAACACATGTTAGATGGTCGGTGGCGTTAGACACTGAATGATGTCTTTGCTCCTGGATGCTTGTTTTTTATAGCTAGTTGTGAGGTTCTCCCACTCCTCAGTCCGTTTAGGTCCTTTCCTTAGTTTTTCCCCTTCCTTCGCCCGGGGTCCACCCTCGTACGTTTTCGTCCGTTATCACTACTAGGTGGAGGACGTCTTCCCTGTCGTACTGTGGAGTGGGGGTTGCTCTCCTTTTGCGTGATGTTCCTGTCGCTTGATCCTTTTGCTTAATTTTGCGCGTCTGGGTGTATCGAGCGTTTTGATGTGTACCATTGCGGCTATTGAAGTTACCTCTTCGTGTATTTTCTGGCCATTTGGTCGGTCACATCTACACCGAATTTGGCGCTATTGTATAATCTAATTGTCTCCGGTATACAGGCATCATTTTCTTCAACTTCTACGGAGTTATGCATTGAACTAAGAATCAGTACTTTTTTATTTGGTTTAGCTTTGTAAATTGTCAGAGTACAATTATTTGAACGATATAATTTTGTTGAAAAACGTGTCATATTGTCCTTTTTCTGTTTCGCCAATTTTGGTAGCTCCCTTCTATTTGCGCGAATTGTTCCAACAACCGCAGTTTTCTTTGGTAAAAGTTTAGTCGCTATCGACATGCTTGCAAAAATATTGTCCATGGTTATATAATATTTCTTCCACATCCTATATACGGTTCTACTTATTTCAGAGTGACAAACTCCCCAAGCGGAACTGAAGGTTCTCCCCTTTCATCTTTTCCCAATTATGGAAAGCCGTTTATTATATATTTGCTATTTACATCGGACGCTAATCAGAATTTGATACCAAATTTGTTTGATTTATTGGGCATGTACTGAGTGAATCTACACCTTGCTTTTATTGGAAACAATTGTTCATCGATAGTAATATATGGTCCTGGTTTATAACAATTTTGATTGTTCTCAACGAATTTGCACCAAACTTCAGATATCAAAGCGAATTTATCGGTTTGTAAGCGATGGCTTCGTTGATTTCTGTTATCAAATCGAATAAACCCCATAATTTCCATAAAGTTATTTCTGCTCATAGTCTTTGAGAAAAATGCCGGACCCCAGTTTTTGTTCCATAGAAGTGATATATCTATATTTTTTGGCTCATATGCGCCTCATGCATACAGGAGTGTGCAATAAATGCATATAACTTTGCAGTACATAGATCACATTTAGTTCCCACCACTCGAAATGCCTCTGTTTCCGTGCACTTTCTTATATGTTCGATTATATTATGACAAATATTATAATAAGAGAAAATGCCGTTCTAACTTTACCTTTCATAATATTTCGTTTACTATACCCTGTCGGGCCTGATGTTTCCCTAAAAATATTATGAATCGGTGCTCTTCCAGGATTAGACTCTTCTTTTACTTCTTACCAAACAGTTCCGTCTATAGCAGTTTCGATTACCTCTTCCTCATTCTCACTTTCGGAACTAACTAAAAATCTCCTTCTCTTTTGTCCTCTACGTACGTTCAAAATATTCTCTTCGTTCTCATCGGTGTTCAAGTCGTTGTCAAATAGATCATAATCATTTTCCGCAATGTCATTTTCAATATCAGAAATTTCCTGATCATCTTCCGAACACTCTTCGTCAATATTATTTATTTCCTCTAATAATAAATTTATACTCTTTGAATGTCTTGACATTTTGGGGATGAATATTCAAAGGATAAAATGAAAACTAAAATATAAAAATGTAAATCAAAATGGATAAAAAAGTGGATAAAAGATAAAATGTGAAACTTACTACAAAGTATTGTTGGTTTTGTTCACTTTTTTGAAAATAACACTTATAACACGTAATACAATATATAAAGTAAGAGTAGAACAATAATAGAATAAAAATACAAAATAATAATAGATTGCCAAATATGCTCTTTGTAACTTTCACGTTTTGATGCTCTCTGTGTGCATCGACTTCGAATTCCAAGTAGCAACATCTTTGACAATAGATTACCGCAAATACCACATCGACCTGGATTCTGGAAATAGTAATTTAGTTAAAACTCAAATGCACTCACGACACATCATTTCCGTGAAATACTTTGTTTATATATTATTGTTGGACATATTTGTGAGTGCAAAATAGGCCAACGTGTAGCGGGGTGTTGTTCATACGTTGCAACAGTATTATGGTACTTAGGATTTGCTCGACATCAGACGTACACACATTCACCTGCTAACTTCCTCAACCAAAGGTTTACCGAAGAAATGTCATCTGAAGAAGAGGAGGATGAAATATAATAACAATTCTTCATATTCGATGCATTTCATCTTGTTTTAGAAGTAAGTTATAGTAGAATAACGAACATATTTTACGGAACCTTATCTTAATTTTTCGCGTTTTATTGTTATTAATTAGCAATTTGAGCAA